ATTTATTTAATTTGGAAGGCAAATAATAATAATATTACCAGGACCAATGCTAAATAAAGCTAAATAAATATGTTGTATATTCACTTCCAATCTCCCTCTCTCTCTCTCCTCCCTCCTTCTTCCTCTCTCCCTAACCAAAACATCTTTCTTTATTTTTCTTTCAATTTATTTATCACAGAAACTGGGTCATGTATCTTGAAGAGTTTCCTCCACTCTAGATTTTGTAGATTATATTATATAATCTTCACAGCAATCATATGATTAACCCTATGAGGTAGGTACTGTTGTTATCTCCATTTTGCAGGTGACAAAAATATGGCCAATAATGGTGAAAATTGTGCCTAAAGTGACTAAGGAGGTGAGAAGTAAGAACACAAACCCGGGTCTCACTCCGAGGCCCATGCCCCTGCCACCAGATCAGACAGCCTCTTGAGTGGCCTTGCCCAGTGAGCATCTGCCAAATGGGCATCAGTCTCTCTGCAACAATTCATTTTACCACTTACATTGGGACACAAAAATATAAGTAGACCAGCACATAGATGTTTTATGCTCATTCGCAAGTTTTATGAGGATTATGACTAATATTCAGTGTTTGTCTAAAGAAGCATAGCACACACAATTCTCTAAAATGACAAACCTAGAAATTTGTCTTTAATAAATCAAAGACATCACAATTTTATCATGGGTGGTCAATTTACAAAGTTCTTTTTTTTTTTTACAAAAGGCTTTAGTAAGTTAAAAAGGTAAAATATATAAGTTCAAAAAGGATTTAGATAAAATAATAGATCCATAGTGGTTTATAAGAGGAGGCCAAGGATATTTATGATAAATATCCCATCTTTTAAAGTTGTCAATAAAAGTAATAAATGGTTATTATTGAACAGTTGGAAAGAAGTTTTTAAGTATAAAGAAAATAAAAGCCACCTAATAAAAGCCACCTACCATGGTCTTACCCTCAAATCCCTCCTCTGTTGAAACTGATGTGGGAAAAGCAGCCTGTCTCTTCCCCAGCAAGTAACTGCAGAGATGAAGTCTGGCCTGCAGGTAGCAAAAGTCTGATTCCTAGTGTGGAATCTCTGGAGAATTTTTCAGAAAGGGTAGAGCTATGCCCACAGACACTGGAGTGTGGAGACATTTGATCTGAGAAATAAGTATCTAGTGCTAATAGGGTAAGGATCTTAAAATCTGAGAAAGACAAGAATAACAAAATAGAGACATGGATACTGGTAAGAAGGAAATGAAAAATGAAGGGTGGAAGATGAAAAGGGATATGGGTTGATAGTTTAGCTGAGTTCCAGAAATTTGGACACTAAAATCACTTGCATTTTTAAAGACAGCGATTTTGACCCTTGTAGGAGGAGTCAGGGCACAGCATGAAATGGGACATAAGAAACCGAGCCGCAGGTTATTTCTAAAAAGATGAAAGACCTTACCTCTCCGAAAGCCAGGAGCTGCACGTCAGTGGCTCCCTGAGCTGTTGCAGACCCACCATGGCCATCACCCTGCCCAGGTCTTCACTCCTGTCTCCCTCTCCATACAGTGTACCCAGGCTCCTTCAGGGAAGTTTCCAGTGTTGTAGACTGCAGACCTGAATTTAGAACCTTGCTCCTCCCTGTGTGGTCCAGGGACCAGAAGCATCAGCATTGTCCTGGAGCTTGTTGGGAATGCAGAAGCCCAGGCTTCACTCCAAACCTACGGAACCCACATTTTAACAAGACCCTCAGCTATGTCCTTGGCTTTTCTTTATGACAGTTCCTGACTCATAGCCCTGGCAGTCTTTGGAATGCATCCAATGTCTTTGATCCAGAGCTTGCCCCCTCCAACTCCTGACTCCTTCCCCAGTTTCATCCCCACCCAACCTGGACACGCTGACCAAAACACTTTCTAGGACCCTCTGCCAGGGATACAGCAATGAACAAACATTCCCTCCCCTCATGGAGCTTACATTCTGGAGGAGGGAGATAGACTGATAAAAATGAATAAATAGGCAAAAAATGAAAAAGACCAAAAATAAAAACAGGCCTAGCCTTCTGCAAGATCACATCTACCCAGGTACCAAGGTCAGGGCTGCGTCCTCTGGGTAGAGATCTGCTGACTCCTGCCTGATGTACACCTCCATCCTCTCTCTGCTTGCCAAGGGAAGACAAAGACCTTGCTGCCCCCAATGCTAAGACCTGGCATAAAAGATCGATGTTCAGCAGCTCTCAGGGCAGATGGAAACAGTTTGACCTTTCCCAGCAACTGGCCCTTCTCCAAACAGAATTCTTTCTGGAGATAGTCACATTTTTAAAGTTAACCACATGCTCACCTGTAATATGACCTGGGGTGCTTATTATTGTATTTAATGAATGGGGTATAACAGATCAGAGTTTTATAGACAGACCTAATGAGCAGACGTACTTATTTTTTCCAGTCGTAAGACTGCTCCACAGCCTGCTTTGCTGCCTCTCTGAGGTCACTTCCACACTCAGAGCGTCACGAATGTGAGAGGCAGAGGCAGGTCATCCTTTCTTAAGAGCCAAAGGTGACAGCAGGCTCAGCCCCTGAGGTGCCACCTGGTTAGTTTGATTTTAAAATTGGGACTTACCAGACTTCATTTTTTTAGAAGTTTTATTATCATTATTTTTGTTCAAACAATATAGTCAATCGTAAACTAATTTGGAGATTTTCTATTAAGAGAGAAGAAAAGCAGACTACAGAGAGTCTGCTGAACGGGAAAGGGAAGGAAGCGGAGAGAGTTTTTTCCGCCGTACAGGTGCAACCTTAGCTCTGATGCCTCCCATCAATCAGAATGAAAGAACAGTCTCTTTCTCTCTTCTTCATAGCCCCAATTTACTTTTTAAAATTCTGTAGCCTGGTATGTTTACAGAAATCCACCCAGGCTTACAGAGTTATATTTCTTTCTTCCGGAAAGATTTTGATTTTACGGTTTCAAAAAGTACCCCTATCATGTCTAGCCTAAAAGGAATAACTGTTTACACTTCCTTTCGTTCTCCTAATCTTTATCCACAGACACATACTCTTCACATGATTCGTATCATAGAGCATGTATGATTCTGTGTTTCTAATGGAGATTTTTTTTCAAGTCATCAGGTATGGCTTGAGCCCCTATTCTCTAATTCTTACATTTCAAGATAGAAGTCTTTTTTAATTTTAAAGTGATTTAGGTTATAAAAACTGAGTCGCAAGAGCTGCTTCAAGTGGAATATCTGTTTCACTTAGTTTCTGGGTTAAGAGACTCCACGGTGTCTTCTTGAAGTCATAAGCTCCCTGGTTGTCTGACTCTGCCCTTTGATCCATGTCCTTCATGCAAAATTTCTCTTTTTTGGGGGGGGAGGGTAATTAGGTTGATGTATTTAATTATTATTGTTATTTATTAATGGAGGTACTGGGGATTGAACCCAGGACCTCATGCATGCTAAGCACATGCTCTACCACTTGAGCTATACCCTCCCCCACATGCAGTGTTTCTAAGATGAAGTGCCAATGTGAACTTTATAGGAGAAAAATACTTTGTAAAGAGTTCAAACAGAGAAAATTAAGACTGTGTACCTAGTGATGCGGAAGATCATTTCCAATCAGCTTGAACCAGAGGGAGGACAGTCGTGGTGCTGGTGACTGAGGGATCTAACAATCCAGAGAATCCTAGAGGAGTTTTAGAAGCAGGTGGAAAAAAGCGAAGAGGTTCTTGGAGACGGCATCAAAGCCTTCCTTTGTCTAGAACTTGTTAAAGTAATTCTATCAACCAAAAGCATTAACCTCCCACCTTGTTCTCTTTATGGATAAAACGTGAAGGGAAAAGACGTGCTGAACAACTTCCCTTTTCACTGTTGTCCAAGAAATAAATTGAAAAAAGATTCCCTAGATCCCCTATGACTTAACATATAATAGAAAGGAGTAAATAGCAAAGTTTAACATATTATGGCATGTTCAAGGCAAAGAGTTAACTCCAGAGGTCTTTAGTATGGTGAATTTAAAATGCATATAAAAAAAGGAGAGCAAATTCAAATTGACCAAAAAGAACCAAAGTAGGAAATGGAAAATCCTGATGCAATCCTATTATTTATGTACTGCTGCTTAACAAATGACCCCAAAACTTGGTGGCTTAAAATGACATTTCTTTTGAGTTTTGGGGAGTTGGGAATTTGGGAACAGCTTAGCTGGGTGGTTCTGACTCTGGGTCCTCTAGAAAGGGCTTAATTGGGGCTGGAGTGTCACTTATGCAGCTGCTGTCTGGAGGCTTCAGGTCCTTGCTGACTGTTCACAGAATCATTATGTGAGCTCTCCATCAAGCTGCTGAGTGAGAGAGAGGGAGCAAGAAGAAAGTTAGGATGCCTGTCTTGACCTAATCACAAATCTTCACTTCCACTGTATTCTATTTGTTAGAAGACAGCCCAGCCCATGCTCAAGAGGGAGGGGAATTCACTTCTGCCGTTTAGGAGGAGGATATCAAAGAATTTGTGAATATATTTTTAAATTCAAGGACAACAAGCTTTTGAAACTGTGGAGTTGGAGATATGAAAGTAGAGAGAGCTGCAGATGGGCACCAGCTTTGATAACAGAGCACAGAAGCTAGATACACAGAAAACTCAGCTCCTAGCCTCACTGCCACTCCCAGAAGCTGTAGAAGACAGTCAGCAGAATCCTTAGGACGCTCACCAGTACTCCCAAATCCAGAGAGAAATATATTGAGTGTGTATGTATATCCTTTTCATCTTCTTACTGAGGATTAGTGAAAATGGGTGTGGAGAGAAAGGGATAAAATAAAGAAGGGGGCAATGGTGTTGACTCTCTCTGGAAAGCATGAAAAGTCTGCAGAGTTCCAGGCTGAACTGGGGAAACCATCCCAAACCAAAAGGTGTCTGTCCACATTGCAGGGGCCCAAACCACAGCCCCTCAGCCATCACAGTTCCCGTGTCTACTTTTCAGGTTTCCAGCTCCAAGCTCCTGCAGCTTTCTGAGGGTTTTGTTTTGTTTTTGTTTCTGTTTTTGACCAGCAGAGCCCACATGGAATTGTTGCCTCCTCCCAGCAAAGCTCAAGCAGTGACTGACAACCAGAAGTAAATGTCCAAATCGTCTGCTATCAATGATGCTGACTCCGATACTGTTCTGTCCTGCCTCCCAGGGCTCCCTGGTTGCCCACCAAGGAACTGACTCCAAGCGTATGATTTACTGCCTTCCTTCCCTGCCCTCCCTCACTTTTTCACCTCATACCAGTGCTTCATGGGATCACATCTCAAATAAACCACCTCTACTAATTTCCTTCCTTCAGGTTCTGCTTCTTTGGAAACCCAACCTACAAACCACTGAAAAGAATGGAATATAAACCCAAAAGAAGAGGATAAACCCTGGCACAGGACAATTAACAAAATCCCAGAAGAGAAGGTAGAACCCAGGTAAGGTCAAAGATAGCACAACAATCATTATCTATAAATAGTATGATTACATTTTTATGAAAATACTCTTTTCTTGCTCTCCATCTATCCAGTCAACCAGCCAGCCCTCTATTCATCCATCTCTTATGCACCTATCTGTAGACACATATAGAAAGATGTTTAAAATCATGCTCTTTAAAAAAAAATTTTTTTTATTAAGGTATAGTTGATTTACAATGTTGTGTTTGTTTCTGGTGTACGGCATAGTGATTCAGTTATACATATGTATTTTTTTTCATATTTTCCATTATCATATATTACAGGATATTGAATATAGTTCCCTGTGCTATACAGTAGGACCTTATTAGTTATCTATTTTATATACAATAATTTGTATCTGTAAATCCCAAACTTCTAATTTATCCCTCCCCCACCCCCTTTCCCCATTGGAAACTGTAAGTTTGTTTTCTGTGTATATGAGTCTGTTTCTGTTTTAGAAATAGGTTCATTTGTATTATTTTTTTAGATTCCATATATAAGTGTTACCATGTGATATTTGTCTTTTTCTGTCTGACTTAATTCACTTAGTATGGTAATCTCTAGGTCCATCCATGTTGCTGCAAATAGCGTTATTTCATTCTTTTTTATGGCTGAGTACTATTCCATTGTGTATATATACCACCTCTTCTTTTTTCATTCATCTGTCATTGGATGTTTAGATTGCTTCTAAGACTTGGCTATTGTAGATAGTGCTGATATGAACACTGGGATGCATGTATCTTTTCAAATTAGAGTTTTGTCTGGATATATGCCCAGAAGTGGGATTGATTGATCATATTATAGCTCTATATCTTTAGTTTTTTAAGGAATCTCCATACTGTTTTCCGAAGTGGCTGCACCAAATTATCCATATCCTCTCCAGCATCTGTTTTTTGTCAACTTTTTAATGATGGCTGTTCTGGCTGGTGTGAGGTGGTACCTCATTGTAGTTTTGATTTGCATGCCTCTAATAATTAGTGACAGTGAGCATCTTTTTATTAGCCTATTAGCCATCTGTATGTCTTCTTTGGAGAAATGTCTCTTTGGGTTGTCTGCCCATTTTTGATTGGGTTACTTGGGCTTTTGTAATTGAGTTGTATGAGCTGTTTGTATATTTTGGAAATTAAGCCCTTGTTGGTTGCATCATTTGCAAATTTAAAATCATGCTCTTCTACTGTTAATTCTAGTTATATCTGGATGGTGCAACCTAAGTTGTTTTTAACCTTTATATGTAGCTTTCTTCAATGTATACATTCTTTATAATAAGCATGCACCATTTTAACAAAAACAATAGTGATATCTTACTTTAAATCACAAAGACTGGAAACAAATATGCCAAGAGGGGAGTAAGAGTAGTTTATATGAAATTGTGTGACTATAGATGACTTTGATTTTCCTTTATGACATTTTTGTATTTTTAGTGAGAAACTATTTTCTCTTCCTCATCCCTATCAAATCAGTAATAATGAGTTTTTAAATTGAAAATACACGGTGTTTGTGAAAAACAGCAAAATAGGCAGTTTTGTATATTACTAGGCAGGGAGAAGGGTAATTTAAAGCAGTTCATTGGTAAATTGGAAAATTTTTTCAGGGAAGTAAATTGACAGTGTAAATCAGAGGTCTTAAAAATATCTATGCTTTTGATCCAGTAATTCTGCTTCTATGTATTTAGCTTAAGGCAGTGTTTCCTAAAGCATGGTCCTAGCATCAGAATCTCCTGGACTCCCCTAAAGATGTTGGAAATTTTGCATTAACCAGATCTCCTAATAATTCTTGCATACATTAAAGCTTAAGCACCACTGGCCTGGACAAATGAGACTCATTTATTAATGCTTATTAAGTCCCTATGAAGAATCGGCTCTATTCTATGCACTGGGGACACAGCCATAAAAAACAGAAAAATTCCTTGTGCTCATGGAGCTAAATTTTTTTTTACTCAAAATTTTATACTAATGTATTCATTACAGTATTATTGATAATAAAAAATAGAAAGTACTTATGATAAAAAAATACTCAATGATATTCCAAAGAATGATCCCTTTTATTAAATATATGCATGCATTGATAAAAAGACTAAAGAAATTATCTATAATCAGAAGTATTAATCTTGATTATCTCTGTAAAACATGACTATAGATTATTTTTATTTCTTCTTCATGTTTTTTGGTTTTTCTAAATTCCTAAAATAAATATGAATTACTGACATAATCAGAAGAAATGCAATATTTTAAAAAGTTGATTTAATCACCAGAGGAAATGAGAGCTTTCCAGAGCTAAGTCTGTCTTTTAAAATATGTTTTGCTTTAACGATATTAATATACAGTTACTTTCATTTATGAACTAAACCTTAGAACTTTTGATTCCATTTTGGGAGCTAGTTCATTTGCAATTTCAGTCTGACTTAAGATGAGCTTTCAAATTCTCTGTGAAAGGAAGATGTTGGACTAGCAGGTGAACCCTAAGTACTTCCCAGCTCTAACAAATGAAGAGTTAAAGAAGATTCTAAACTTTTTTTTCTTAAACCTTTAATCTTTGTGCTTTTTGTAAACTTCAAATGTAAGACTAATTGTCATGGAAAAATATTAGAAACATACAGTTTCCTATTTCTGCCAACTTCTATCGCAGGAGAAGAAAAATAATTAGGAGCACTCAGGTTCTGCTCTTTTCATGCCTGTCCTATCCCCAGACAACTCTACTCCCAGCTGGACAGTGGAAATTTAGGAAGGTTGAACTGCTGCATCAAGTAAGTAGCAAAGGACTTACTTGGATACTAATATCTCTCCAGGTCTTGGTGGGAGATTTTGGTAGAATTATTGATATTGTTAAGCTAGTGTAGATAGTTGCTTTAAATTAAGTGGGGGAGATGGTTAATTAAAAATGATTTTTTCCCATCTAATCTAAAAATCAGACTAGAAAACTGGATTTTTTTATGGCTTTGGAGGAAAAAAGCAAAAACTGTTTGAGGTCAGCACAATTCTGTCAATACCCAAGTTGGAGAAGTTGGAAAGTTATGCTGTTTTTACTTAGCCTCATCTTGTTCTCAGTAATTGCTTCCTTTCAACCGTAAAGTTGTTTAGTGTAGGAGAGATATTCCAAGGTTTCTCTTTATATTCGCTACTGCAAGATCCCATTTTAGCATAATTACAGTCTTGGAGTTGCAGAGACAGGCTCACTCTATCTAGCTGTGCAGCTGGCTTTCTCAAATGACAATGGGATACTCACCAGCTTAGCAACGTCCAAGGCTGTGAGCCAGGGGGAAGGCCCTCATGCTGAAATTTTGCCCTTTCTTTGTCTGTATTTCCTCCACAAAAATGGGGAAATGGTTTAGAATTTTAAAAAGCACAGTTTTTATTCTCTTAGGGGCATGCTGAGCTTCAAATGCAGATTTTAGAATCCCAAATCAGAGATTATTCATTTTTATATCTTAAACTGATATTGCAGAGCAAAAGCCACGAAAAAAAGAAAAAAGAAAAATGACTTTTGCAGTACTTTTTTCCTTGTCCTTCTTCTTATGTTTCTTTTTTCTTTCTGTGAGAAGACTCTTTTAAAGAAAGTCTAAATTTGCTTGCCTTTTCTACTTGTAGGGTGATTCCACATTTTGCTTGCTTATTTGCTACAGAAGTTCTTTCCATGATTTGATAATCAATAACTATTCACATTCAACCCTCAGTTATCTACTTATAGACTTCTGCTTACATATACTCTGACTTCCCTGCTTCTCAGTTAGAACCAGGCCCCCTCCTGTCTTCTACTGAGCTCACTTGGATGTGTTGCGCTCTGGCCTCAAGTTCTGTACATTTTTCCTTCACACAAATTCATGAATACATCCCCTTTCTCTTTCACTTATCACAACCTTAGTTTGGGTCTTTATACCTCTTTTCTCAGTTATTACAAAAGCTTCCTAAATGGTCCATCTACTTCTAGGCTTCCCTGTCCAACTTTTGAAGGTTTCATATGAACTTTCTTATAGCACCAAAGAGGAATGAACAAAAAAGACTTATCAGCCATCCATTATGTGTCAGGTGCCAAAACTGACACTTGCAGAGGTGAGACACTGTCATGGGTGGACTTTCTGCTCTCATCAAATTGATGTCTTTTCTGTCTCAGAAACAGGTTCCATATAATAGTGGTTCTTAGGTGGGAGGCAGGGGGTTCTATCTTGCCCTCCTGGGGAGGTTTTGAAATTTCTGGAGACATTTGTGATTATTCCAGTTGGGATGGAGAAGGGAGTTACTGTCATCTAGGATGTAGAGGCCAGGAATGCAGTGCAGCATCCTTCAGTGAACAGGACAGCTCCCTACAACTAAAATAGCACAGTACAAAGTGTCAGTGGTGCCAAGATTGAGAAATTCCGCACCTGTTAATAGTTAACTAATGAATTGCCCCCTCAGTTCAATGCCTGCTATCTCCATATAATCAAATCCTACTCATTCTCCAAAACTTGCTTCAACTCCAGTTCTCTCTCTGAATTGCTGAGGTACTTTTGGTCTGTAGTACTCCCAGTGCAGGTCTCATTTTCCTTTGGAGCTAGTGGCTCTGTGTCCCATGCACTCTGTCTCGTCAGGGTTTTGCTGCAAGTCACTGGGGTCATAGTCTACTTCATTGTTCACACTACCCAGCACAGGGCCCCACATATATTACACAATTAGTAAATACTTGTAACTCAAAAGTTGAATCCATTAGTGCCGAAACTGACAGTTAAAGTAGTCAGAGGAGAACTTGCTGCAGAGTTGAGATTAGGGCGGTTCATCTACAACAATTGATTTAGAGCGAAGCCAAGGGAAATGATAATATAAAGAAAGAAACGGACAAAGACATCAGGATGTACTGCCTAGGATAAAAGAGTTTGAATGTGCACTTCACCAGATCATTTTATTATGGTAAAATACACAAATAGCAAAATTTGTCTTTTTAGCCATTTTTAAGTGTACAGTTCAGTTGAACATTCATATTGTGCAACTATTGCCACCACCCATCTCCAGAACTTTTTTCATCTTACAAAACTAAAACTCTATAAAAGAAAAGAAACTCATTAAAAAATAACTCCCTTTTCTCCTTTCCTCCACTCCCTAGCAACCACCATTCTATCTTCTGTCATTATTTTCTTTCCATTCTGTGGGTTACCTTTTCATTCTGTTGATAGTGTCCTTTGATGCACAAAATTTTAAAAAATCTCAATGAAGTTCAATTTACCTATTTTTTTTCTTTTGCTGCCTGTGCTTTTAGTTTCACATATGAGAAATTATTGCCAAATTCTATATCCATGAAGATTTTTCTGTTTTCTTCCAAGAGTTTTATGGTTTTTGCTCTTATGTTTAGGTCTTTGATCCATTTGAGTGAATTTTTGTATATGGTGTAAGGTAAGCACTCAACTTCATTCTTTTGCATATGGATATCTAGTTTTCCCAACACCATTGACTGAAATAACTTCCTTTTCTCATTCAATGATCTTGGCATCTTTGTTTCAAATCATTTGACAATATATGAGACGGTTTATCTCTGAGTGTCCTATTCTGTTTCTTTTGTTTATATGTCAGTCTTTATGCCAGTACCACACTGATTGATTACCAGGGTTTTGTAAGTTTTGAAATCAGGAAATGTGAGACCTTCAACTTTGCTCTTCTTTTTAAAGATTGTTTTGCTATTTGGGATCCCTTGAGATCCCACAGGAATTTTAGCATGAATTTTTCTATTTATGAAATCAGTGTTGTTTGAATTTTGATAGAGATTGTATTGAATCTGTAGATCATTTTGGGTAGTACTGACATCTTAACAATATTACACCTTCCAATCCATGAACACTGAAAGTCTTTCCATTTATTTGTGTCTCCTTTAATTTCTTTCAACAACATTTTATAGTTTTCAGAATTTGAATCAATCAAATTCTTTTTAAAAAGAAGTTTTTTTTCCAAACAATATAATGAGAACAGTAATGGAAATTTTAAAATAGAAATTATTCATCCCAAATCTCACTTCCCAAGAAATCATTTGGCCTCATTTTCCCCGTGTCCCCTTCTAGTCTTACCTGCATGTATATATGATATCAACATAATTGCAATCATTTTGTGAATCCAATTTTGAACCTTGATTTCTTTACTTATTATTGTACTCTACTCATTTTCCGTGTTGTCATATAGTCACTTTAACAGATTCTAAGGATCCTATACCAACAGTGAACTCTATCTGGGAGCAGGAGAGGACAGCCAGTGGCCTGAGCTTTGGGGTAGGGGTAGGGATGACAATTTTTTTTTTAACTTCCCAAGGTAGTAGAAATCAGTAGTACTTCCTAAGCAAAATGAAAGCAAGATATTTAGAGATTGTTTTGGGGAACCTGTGTAAGTGCTTGAAAGAGAATAGTTACAATTCAAGAAAATATATTGACTGACTTTACTGATGCTGTCTCTGAATATTCTCTAACCCTAACTCTAAAATGTAGCATTTAATATTTGGAAATCATCTTGAAAGACAAGAATCCCAAAGGGTCAAGAACATTTATTTTCTACACTTATCACAGTGGATGACTGAGATATTTATGTCCATCTGTAACTTTTAGTTACCCAGTTTTCAAGAGCTGTTCAGAAATTCTATGAAAGTGGATAAAATGAAAATAGGTTTTTTTTGTAATACAAAAAGCCATTTTAGTAATATTTGATTTTATCACCTTTCTTGGAATGAAAAACTAAGCTGACAGTGCTAAGTGTTGAACTGGGAGGTATGAATTGGTAAAGACAGGTTTGGGAAGACTTGCCATGCCAAAGTTTATAATCAGAGTAGTGAACATGCCCCTACGGCGAAAGCAGCCTTGTCTCCTAGAATTAACTCCCCTCAAGTAGTTAGAGGAACCTGTACATACTTGACTGCACTGATGAAAAGCTACAGCTTCACCTTTCCTTTTACAAGATTTATACCATTTCTTGGATGAATTTGAGGACTGATGAAATATAAGCATGGATCTTGGGTTCTTTCTTTCTCTGGCTGCCTGCCCCCCCCCTTTTTTTCTTAATTTAGGGACACTGTATTTGTAATCAGACTTACTAAAGACATTATGGACAAAAAAATCCTAGCAAGTGTTTTTCTTTTTCTTTGTCATCATCATCATCATCACTAGAGATTTTTATTCCAGTTTTAGAAGTATTTTTTGTTGTTGTTGTTGTTGTTTTAATATTTTTATTTATTATTGTATTACTTAATTTATTTTGGCTAGGGGAGGTAATTAAATTTATTTATTTTTGGAGGAGGTACTGGGGATTGAACTCAGGATCTCGTGCATGTTAAGCACGCACTCTACCATTTGAGCTATACCCTCCCCTAGAACTATTTGTATTATCTTAATAAGTCATATTTTTTTTATCACCGTTTTCGCCACGTTCAGGAATTAAAACATGGATAAAGCAATCACAGTGTTCCTTTTTTTAACATCTTTATTATGGTATAATTCCCGTACAGTAAGCTACACATATTAAGATGTACAATTTGATGATTTTTGATAGCTGTATACACCTATGAAACCACCTTTTAATGTTTGCTTTCCCACTCAGTTTAAAAAATGAATATATTTTGACAGTCTGGGATTAAGACTTTTTTTTATTACGCCTAGAGACCAGCGCTGAAAGATCTGAAATCTTACTTAAAGAGGTTAAAATAACAAATACCCCACTGAATAGCTCCTGGAGAACTGGTTAGCTTAACTGTTTTTTTTTTTTCTTTGAGGGGGAGGGCGTAATTTATTTCATTTATTTATTT